TACTGGAAAGCCTTCAGAAAATCATAATAGAGTATGCGGGCTAAAGTGGAAGCACATACAGCTGGAGGGTGCAGAGAGATTGCCAGTTGTGCCCACTTTCCTGCACTCTCCATAGTAAAGGTGACCTATCAAGGGGGAAAAACATTGGGCTTGGCCTTTTTTTGCTCCCTTCTGAGGGATAAAGCAGGCCTGGAAAGGACGGGTGGGTTTGTTTTCAGTGGTATTTTACCCGTTTGCTTTAATTCATGTCTTGGCTACGCTGGAAGACTCGAGGACTAGTAAGATTGTGACACTGCAGGGACCAAGGAAGTGACACCTGGTTAACTGAGAAGGGAAGGGAATTTTACAGGGACCATTTAAAACTGCTGTTGGGGCAGGGACTGTCTTTGTGTTCTGTGTTTGCACAGCACCTAGCACTATGGGGTCCTGGGCCAGGATGGGGGCTGCTAGGTGCTACCACAATACAACTGAATAATTACAATGTGTTCATTGTCTGGTTTTAAGTTAAGACTGGGGAGAAAAGCTCTCTGTGTTAAGAATTCCGCCATCCTGTCCCTTCAATTAAGGGCTGAGAGCGCCCCTGCTCCACATTCCTGAGTCATCCAAAGAGTTCTCCAAGAGAAAAGGGAAGACAAGGCTTGATAGCCTTGGTAGCCAAGGTACCAAGGAAGAAGGGAAGAAGAAAAGGAAAGAAAAAGGTTAAAAACCCCCTTCAGACTTTCTGTTCATATCCCCAAACTCAATAAGGGCCCGGCCCCTCCCTCAGGGCAGACCCCTGCTGGGACAGAGAGAAAGGAGAGCGGCACCATGCAGTCCACACGCCTTACCCGCTGAGCACGCCCAGCACCAGGTTGAGAACGAAGAAAGAGCCCAGCAGAATGAGGCTGACGAAATAGATCCAGGGCCACTCGTTCCCGATGGCGTCGTTCACCTGAGCAGGACAGAGGCAGATGAAGATCCAGGGGGAGAACCAAATCCACCTGGCTCAGGTAAGCCCATTACTGGAGTAGCTGAGCACCTCACAGTCTTTACGCATGGGGAACTGAGACACAGAGCGACTAAGAGACTTGCCCACGGTCACAATGGGAGTCTGTGGCAGAGCAGGGAATTGAACCTGGGTCTCCCAGGTTTCAGACTTGTCCCTACTCATTGACCAGCCTTCCTCCCAGGAACCCAGTGGTTAGGGCACTAATTTAAGGCTTTGAAGACCCAACTCCCTACTCTGCCACAGACTCCTTGTGTGACCCTGAGCAAGTCACTTAGCCTCTGGGTCTCAGCTCCCCATCTGTGCAATGGAGATAATAGCACTGTCCTGCCTGCCTCCCGGGGGGTGAGTGGGGCAGGGGGGGGGTTAATGACGATGAAATGCTTTAAGATCTAATGGTGAAAAGCACTGTATAAGAGCTAGGTGGTGT